AGGGTTTACTTATCCCTAAGGGTCCAAGTACCTAATAACCATATACTCTCCCAAATAGTAACCTACATAACACCCTAAACCCTAAACCCTAAACCCTAAACCCTAAACCCTAAACCCTAAACCATAACTACCATGCGACATGTAAGTCCCTAATTAGTCGGTCCTTTGGACCCCTAGGGGATGTGCTTGAGCACTTTCAGCTTCAGGGTGTAGGACTTGTGGGGTTTAGGGTTTAGGGTGTAGGCGTAGGGTTTTGGGTTCGTGGACGTTCAGTCCTTCAGGGCTTGTAGTGTTTAGGGTTTACCTAAACCCTCCAACGTAGGTGGAACAATGGGCCCAACACTAAAAGGCTAGTATTCTACATACTTTTGGGGTCCAGGTCGGTATGGGGTGTGTATGCGAATGGTGCTTCAGGGTTTGAGTTTGTTCACGGGCTTAGGTTAGTTTATGGTTTCGATTTGAAGGCTTTTGGTGTAACTTAGGGGTCTGTAGGATCAAGGTTTCAGATCTAGTTTAAGTGTTTGGCCCCCTAAACCCTAAACCCTAAACCCCTAAACCCTAAACCCTAAAATGGGGGCTTTCGTTAAGGAGTTCAGTCTGAGAGTTTGCAGTGTAGGAGTTTGCCTCTGTGCGCCAATCCTCCCTACAGTCTCTATTGGACACCCTTTCCTTAGGACTTATCGGATCCATAACATAATCGGTTAAACCAAGACCCTAAACCCTAAACCCTAAACCCTAAACCCTAAACCCTAAACCCCAACCCCTAGACTCCCTAGACCCTAACCTCTAACCCCTAAACCCTAAACCCTAACCCCATTCAAACCCTTTAAGCCCTAGCCACCAAACCTTCAAGCCCAAAGGATAAACAGTTGGTTCAATCTGAGCCCACAGGACACATGTACCCAAAGAGTATGTACTTTGGCCCCAGAGTACTTACATAGATCCTCCAGCAGAATCCGCTAGTGATTTGTTGTTTGAGTCATAGGAACCCAGCCCAAAGCCCTAAACCCAAAACCCTAAAACCCTAAACCCTAAGCCCAAAACCCAAAACCCTAAACCCTAAGCCCAAAACCCTGAACCCTAAAACCCTAAACCCAAAATCCTAAACCCAAAACCCTAAATCCTAAACCCAAAACCCTAAGCCCTAAACCGTTTGGGGATGGTTGGTGCCCTTCAGCGCTTTGATTCGGGTTTAGGGTCGAGGCCCCCGTAGGGGTTCAGGGCCCCCGACCCTTTCGTCAATCTTTAGGGCTTACCGGGGAATCCGCAAACCCACGGTTTGAAGGGTTATACCCTGTAAGAAAGGGGTCATAGCCTACTACATATTGTGTAGGCTTTGGGGATACCGGTGCGGTTTCAGCCATTCTCTGCTTCTAGACCCCCAAAAATGCGGCAAGACACATGGGCAGAGTGAAACCAATCACTCCTAACACCCTGAAGCTTTGTGAACATCCCCTAAAGCCTGAACCCTCAAGGCCCTAAACTCCTTCAGCCCCAAAACCGCTTGTCTGCTAGTCTTAAACCCCGCCGAAGCGTGGGCCCTAAGCAGGGCTTGTAGGGTGTCGAGTTTAGGGTTTTGGCTTTAGAAATATCCCGGGTCTGCCAGTTGGCCCTTTCTCCGGTTTTGATGGTCGCAGGTTTCTCGCAAAACTACCCGGTACCAAAAAGGTAGGGTTTGGGGCATAGGGTTTAGGCTTTAGGGCCCCTGCCTATCCTTGGGTCACTGGGCATCCTAGAATCCTAAAGCCGGTCTGCGTCTCGAAACCGAAGTCTACATTCCCAATGTCCCAAAGAAGTTATGATCTCAGACCCGGGGGGCCCTAAGTAACTTTATATGGGGGATACTTGGTCAAACCATCATCGTAATTCTATCGAAAACCTACGTGCGTTCTACAATTATAGGTACTTAGGACCCTTTGGGAGACCCTAAACTTCTGAAACCCTCCAAACTCTAAGCCCCGAGGCCCTTACAAACCCAAAGGGATCAACCTTAAACCCCCAAAACCCTAAACCCGAAACCCTAAACCCTAAAACCTAAACTAGACCTTAAACCCCCTAAACCCTAAGCCATAAACCCTAAACCCTAAACTAAACCCTAAACCCCCAAACCTCGTAAGGCTCCGCACCCTCGGGTGCGGATCCTTCGGCCGCGTGAAATTCGCGAAGTACAAGCCGGACCGAATGTAAAAGGGGGGTTGAAGAATTGGGGTTGAAGCTTTAGAGTTTGGGGCTGCGGGTTAGTGTAATGTGTCTGTACATCTAAACCCTAAACCCCAAACCCCTAAACCCTAAACCCTCCGTTGTTGATTTGGTGTGCTTGTTTCTGATTTTGTGACCACCGTTGGTGCTATCTTATCTTCGGCCCAAGGCTGCTATTAGGGTTTAGAGTTTGGGGTACGAGCTACTAGTTTCTAGTAGCGGCTGACATGGGTAGTTCTCTAAATTGGGGTTCCCTTTTGGGGCGGGGGTTCTCGTTTGTAACGGTGCCGTACAATTCGGGGAAGCCAAAAACGGACCGGACCCCAATTTCGAGAACTATCCTTATAGACGATCACAAATGTAATTCGTTGCTTTACTTATTTCGTTTATGCGGTAAAACAAGTCTTGAACATTGTCCCCCGTAACTGCCAGTACACTGAGCTGCTGCACTTGAGAGAACATGGACTTGGCCAAAAGACTGACTAGAGTTTTATGACGTTGCAGGCCCGGAGACTCTAACAGTCTTTCTCAAGTACTTCAGGAGCTGCACCATGATTTGAAGGGCAACCCTTTAAGGGAACCCTAAACCGTAAACCCTAAGGTTTAAGACTCCAACAGATACGACCTAGTCAAGGAATAGCGGAGTCTCTGGGACGGAAACTGCTTGTACAATGCAGCGGAGGCGGGGTCACTATGAATCATACCTTACCGCCTCCAGGATGGGAAGTTCTATGCCGTGAAGTTCATGAAGAAGCACGAGATTATCAAGCTCAAACAGGCTTGAAGCCCTAAACCCTAAACCCTAAACCTGGATGTGTCAGGGGGCAGTTCTCCCAATTAGGTCTGCTTTTAGGGGTCCTTCTTTCAAGGCTGCCGCCTTCTTTTGGGTTCCTACTTGGAGGTTCATGGGTAGCTATAAGTGGGGCTATAAGTCGAGTAGCTATAATCATAACCCATGTGAGAGGACTTACAACCCCACTTATAACTACCCATGAACCTGCAATCATAACTTAGAGAATTACCTTTAGGGCCCGAGACCGCTCCTCTTTTCTGGCTCACCGATTCGGCTTAGGGTGTAGACCCTCAGCTTAAACCGTCCTAAACCCTAAACCCTAAACCCTAAACCCGAAACCCTAAACCCTAAACCCGAAACCCTCAGCTTAAACCATCCTTAAACCGTTCAGCCCTCAGCCTCCGACCCTGAAGCCCTGATACCCTACTCCGCGAGTTTTAAAGCTAACATCTAGAGCCTAAACCCTAAATACGGTTTAGGGTTTAGGGCTATTAGGGTTTAGGGTTTAGGGTCCCTAAAGCTAAACCCTAAATACGGTTTAGGGTGTAGGGCTATTAGGGTTTAGGGTTTAGGGACCCTAAAGCCTGCCGATACTCCTACAGCCTGAAGGCTTCACCCCAGCGCCACAAACCGCCTGCCCCCTCCACGAGAATACCTCGAGTGCAAAATTGAGTTATAGGGTTTTGCGAGGTTTTGTACGTTTTTTTTGTGGCTGTTCAGGGTATGTATATAAATATATATATATATATGTGTGTGTTGTATGCGAGGCTTGGGAATAGTTGATGACAGTATTCCCTCATTGTAGAACTTATCGTCTCAATACTTCCGATGATAAGTGTCGTAGGATGTAACCCCCCCATTCTCTGTTCTAAACTGTTCAGGCCCCGATATTAGAGCAAACAGCTCTTGAACAATTTGCAGGGGGGTTCCCATTCGTCTTTTGATCTGCGGAAGAGGTGAACCTCTTCCTGAACCCCAAACTGCGTCTCCAGGTTTGCATTGAAAACAGTTAGTCTGTACAAGACGAAAAAAATTGGATCGCCATTACCTCTAATCCTTCATACTGACCGTCGAAACATCAAAGCCGCAGGTGGATCACATCAACAACGAGAAGCGTTTGATGGCACAGATCGCACACCCATTCATCGTCAACATGATGGGCTACACAAAGGCCGAACCCGAAGCGCGAAAGCCGAAACTGTAAACTGTGTTTAGGGGTTAAGGGTTTGGGGTTTTAGGGTTTAGGGTAGTTTAAACACCAGGAGTTCGTAGCATCCGAGCCTAGTGTCCAGCTTTCAATGTTTCTCTGTAAAGCCCTACCGTACATACTAGCAACTGTTGACCCCACGATCACGCGGTATAGCCGGTACAGCCCTTAGAAGAGCTGGCAGTTGTACCCACAGGTAGGGTTCCAAAGGAGTGTTGCAGATGAGTCTTCAGGTCGATGGAAGTAGTCCGTGCGCGTGTGCCGTAGGATTTTACGGCCTAGGATGTTGGGTTTAGTAAGAGCTTAGGGGTTTGGGGTTCAGGATCGGGGTCTAGCTGAGTCTAGCTTAAGGGTTGAAGGTTTTAGGCTTAAGGTATTGAGAAGGCTTTGGGTTTGGTTTCCATGCACGAGCTTTGCAATTGGGATCAGCGGGTGCCGAGCAGTGGCCCTCGTGAGGCATCCTACTGCAGGTCAAGTTTTGCAGATGGGTGGTTGTCAAAATTATGGTCCCTTTTTGGGTCCTTATTATGATACGGCACCTATTATTTAGGGTACCCCAAAAGGGACCCTAATTTTGACAACCACCCAGATGGATATGACATGAGATTATTGATTATGGTGCTGCAGTTCTACGGAACTGTCGTGCCAGTATGTGTAGGGCAGGAAGGACAGGACTAGAAATGGTCGTCATCATAGCCACAGTGGTTTTCCTCAGAGTCAACCCATAAACCCTTGCTTTGCTAAGCCTTAAACTGAAACCGTAACCCTCGGATAAGGATACAGATATTTTTTGGTTGGAGGCAGTTTAGGATATGTTGGCTGCCCTTGAACAAAAAGTTGCATCTGCTGTCAGTGCAGGAGCCAAAATAACTACCTACACTATTTATGGGGTTCTTTATCATAATGGTAGTATGATGGGCCCGTAAACCGTATTCTAATTATTAAGGCCCCTACATTAGGCTGTATGGGCACTTCTTGATTTCCGCAAGTTTCGGCTCCGAGGTGGTGCTGGGGTAAGTGTAATTCAAGCACCACCGATCTGACGTTCATGTGTAGTGATAAGTAGGGTTATAAGTAGGGTAGCTGTAGTTATAATCTCTATTAGGAGACTTATAAACCCACTTATAACTACCCATGAACCTCCAAGCAAGCCTCGTGCCAGGACGAGCACTTTGTGTACATTGCCGGGGCCTCAGCTGTAACGCTACATCCAACTGGGTCCCTGATCCTTCGCTGATACTCCGCGCATTCCTAGACCCCCGAGCTCTATGCGTTTTTCCTAAACCGTGAACCTCGAAGCTTTGATTCCTAGGTCCTATGATTGTCTTTGAGCTTGAAAGCCTGAAACGACCCATACCGGTTCCTAATACCGATTAAAGTATACAGTACAGCATACCGCCCCAAACCTCGGTTAGAATCCGTAAGGTCCCTACTCCGGTTCAGGGTTCGACGCGTCGAGGTCATGGAGTGCATCAGCGGGGGGGAGCTCTTCACCCACCTCCGACGGGCGCGGAGGGGGAAAGTGTGGTTTTCAAGACTTCGGGGTTTGTAGGGTAGTTCAGGCTCTATGGCCCTAAACCCTAAACCCTAAACCCAAACCCTAAACCCTAAAACCCTAACCCTAAACCCTAACCCTAAACCCTAAACTCTTTTTTCATGCCCATGTCTTTCAGAGGGCTTGGAGTTTCGGGCTCATCGGGCTTGCATGGCTGTTAGGGTTCGGTTGTTCACTTTAGGGTTTGGGGTTTAGGGTAGCGCAACCCTAAACCCTAAACCCCTCAATCGAGCTCAGTAGCCGTAGATATCGGACGCCGGGAGATGGCCTGTAGCCCTTAATTCTGAAGTAGACGTTAAGGCACAACATAGCATGGTTTAGGATTTAGGGCTTCGGGTTCCCTCTCGAACAGTCTAGCAGTTCATTCTTCGCTTAGATCAGCAGCCCAATAAGCCGTCCATACCCCTAAACCCTAAACCCTAAACCCTAAACCCTAAACCATACAATCATGAACCCCTTTCGTTCCTTGTCCAAGGTGGTGGCTGGGCTCTCCAACCCCGAAATTCCTGACCCTGCAGCCCGAAACCCTAAACCTTAATCCTTAAACCCTAGACCCTGAACCCTGAACCCTAAACCCTGAACCCGAAACCCTAAACCCCAAACCCTAAACCTTGAGACCCCAAACCCTAAGCCCGAAACCCTCTCTCCGAATGGGTGGGCGCAGGCACGCAAGTTCACGGACGAACAGAGCAAGTTCTATGGGCTGCAGGTGGGGCTCAGATCGTGTTGGTTGTATTGATGCAAATGTTTGTTGTTGGATCTTTGTTGTGTATGAGTGAGGAGGTTCCTTCTGGTTTTCATTTGTTGTTTCATGATGTTTCAGTTGTACTAATTTGCAACTTTCATGCTTCGTTCTGTAACCACGGAACAGTTGTCTAGCCATGTTTAAACTGTTGTTTTCACCATGGGTCCACGTGGGCTGTACTGGGCTTTCCAAGGTCTCTTGAAGAGGTTACAGCTTCGGCTCTAGTCTTCATTTAGGGTTTAGGTTTTAGGGTTAAGGTTTTGGGGTTTAGGGTTTAAGGTTTAGGGTTTAGGGTTTCGGGTTTCGATTTTCGGGTTTAGGGTTTAGGCCTCAGGCTCAATACAGATGTCGGATGAACTAAGCATTTAACCATACCGAAGTACACCTCAGAAACGCTTCGCTAATTAATGATGAAGCACCTGTATTAGGTTTTCGCAAAGGGTCCAAGTACTCCTTATCATCCTTTGGGGTATCGAAACCCCAGGAACTAGAACAACTTGGACCCTTAGGGTTTAGGGTTTGGTGATTACTTAAACCAGGTAAGAACAATGGCCCATTTTGGATTTAGGATGTCGCTTTCACTGCCGGCGTGGGGCTGGCTTTAAGGCTCGGTTAATTTAGGGGTTACCATATTGTAGTAAAAGGGTTACTTGAAGGGTTTGTCTACAAGGGAGACGTTCAGAGTAAACTATAATATAAGGGTTGCTCAGTTGCTCTAGAAGTAATACACATCGGCTGATTCTGAGGCTTACTGTACTTACTTTACACAGGTTACTCTAAGGGTTGCTACACGGGTTGCTGAAAGGGTTAGCATGAGGGTTAATTTAGAGGTTCTGCTGCGGACCATTTGGGCTATTTTGAGCCTTAGGGGTTATACCTTGCCTTTGTATCTTGAGGCCTAGATGATTTCGATGTCATGAGATATGGGGCAGACGCCAGGAGAATCTTATGGGTGAAGCGCACACATTCCTACAGCCCTGAACATTCCTTTCAGGGCAGACGAGACGTTGGGCGAAGCCCACAAGTAGCTGCATGCTGAGTATTAGGTAGATCCTACGTCAGCTTGCAACCTGACAGAGCAGCCCAAAGCCAAGAACAAAAATTGGGGAACATCCAGGCTACAAGCCCTACCTTAAGAACCCCAAACCCACTTTTTTGTAGGTTCTTATTATAAACCCTAATATGGGATTTATAGGGACCCGACAAAAAAGTAGGTTTTGGGTTCTTAAGGTAAACCCTAAACCCATTCTACGATCGCTAGGCCCAAACCACGTCCCACGAACCAACGAGAGAGCTTGGACCAGGTCGCGGCAGCATTTGCGCACATCCACAGCACCAGTCTTAGCTACCAATCGATCTATCTATCGTTTGGGGTTCATGGTTTAGGGCTTTAGGGTTTAGGGTATCCGTCTATCTACCTCTAGGTGAGACTACCTCTATAGGCACTAGGCTTATTCAGAGTATTCAATGAAAGTTGGATGTTCGGGGAGGTTGTCCACGTGGCGCGGCTAAGATGTACCCTAAACCCAAAACCCTAAACCCAAAACCCATAGAGTTGAGTGGGTCTAGTTTTGATATGATTTGATAAAAAGCTTCTCGGTTCCTGAGTAGTACCCTTGTGCCCTTTTTGTTTTAGGGTCCCCTTTAATTGAAACCGAGCAGTAGGAAAAAGGGGTACCTTCATTTACTTAAATGGTTGGGGCTGGTGTCTTCGAGGTTCATGGGTAGTTAAAAGTGGGGTGTTAAGTAAGGTAACTATAGTTAGAACCCATGTTAGGGGGCTTATGACCCCACTTGTAACTATCCATGAACCGCCAAGTACTCCCCAGCCCTGAACTGAAATTTGGCTTCATCTAACTACCCACTACTCTCGAAGATGTACGAACTATAATGGCATTTTATGAATGTTGTATGCGTTCCGATCAATGCTTGAACCCCTCAACCGCAAGCCCTAAACACTAAACCCGAAACCTTAAACCCTAAGCCCTAATGCCTCAACCCCTAAACCCTAAACCTTGAACCCAGAACCCTAAACCCCTGATCTCCTAAACATTAAACCCTACATTGAATCCTAAACCCCCTAATCCCCTAAACCCCTAAAAACCTTAAACCCAAAGCCCCTAAGCCCAAAACCCTGAACCTTAAACCCTTAACCCTAAGCCCTAAGCCCCTAAACCCTTATCCCCTAAACCCCAAACCCCTAAACCCAAAACCTTCAACCCAAAACCCTTAAACCCTAAACCCTAAACCCATAAAACCTTAAACCCCTAAACCCAAAACCGGGTTGAGGGGCCTCTCATCCCCGGAGCCAGCTCCAACATCGAAGCTTCAGGATTTAACAGGGGTTTAGGGTTTAGGGTTTAGGGTTTAGGGTTTAGGGTCGTCGCTAAACCAACCAGTGGGCTGACGATTCATAGTTGATGTCCCATGTCCTGATCGTCGTGGATGAAGACGCAGACGTTGAAAGTCCGATCGATAAATACCAGGCCCTCCAGCGGAAGCACAAGCTAGCTACAGGCAAGGTGCTAGGCTGGGCCACCGGCCTCAAGAAGGAGCTCGCTGCTTCCAAGTGCACAACTCCTTGGCTCATAGCCCAAGACAGAGCTTCGCAGGCTCATCTCCGTGCGCAGGACTTCGTCCCTGATCTCCAGCCGCACCAGCATTGAAGCACGAACAGTCTTCGTTCCTGACTCTTCTGGGTTCTGGCTAAGGGATTTAGTTTAAGTTAGCATAACAAGGGTTTAGAGGTTTAGGGTTTAGAGTTTAGAGGTTCGGGGTTTAGGGTTTAGGGGATATAAAAGACCATGTTATTTTACAATAGGTCCCTACTATGGTAACTTAAAGTGAACCCCTTAACAAGAACCTAGATTTTTGGCGCTGAACCTTACTGGGCCATGGCGAAAGTCTTCGGAGGCCAAATACCCCTTCGCTTCGATACCCGGAGAACTTTAAACTTGTTGGCCTTATATGTTTGGTCCATCTTAGAAAGTTTCGAACTTTGACCCGGTTAACGAAGAGGAGGGTTAATTGGGGCCTAAATAGGGCTTAAGGGTTTAGGGCTTAGGGAATATAGCTTACAACATAAGATGAAGTCCCTTATAGTCTGGTGTACATTCCTCAGTTAAGGGGTACTGGGCTCTCTTGCGTCTGTCGATGCACTGCCTAAACCACGATAAACATCTCTGAGCCGGGTGCTGCAAACTCTGCAAAGGCGTACATATATATATATATACACACATACATATAGTTTCTATACACACACAAGTATGTTTCGATGATCTGAATACTGTTACAAACTTATGGCTATTATGAAGGCAAAGGGCCGTATTGTTATGCGGGATACTTTCCCAAATCATTATAAGGCTTCCTAATCTAAAACCCTGCCTTCTTCTATATAGGGTTTAGGGCTTAGGGTTGAGGGTTTAGGGATATAAGTACTTTGGACCTTTCGGGTTTCGATATGGTTTGGATAGAGAGGTTCTCGGTTCCTGAGTTGTGCCCTTTAGCCCTTTTTGTTTCAGGGTCCCCTTTTATTGAAACCTAACCCCTAAACCCCTAAACCCCTAAACCTTAAACCCCTAAACCGTAAACCCCTAAACCCCTAAACCCCTAAACCCCTAAACCCCCAAAACCCCTAAACCTTAAACCC